ATTCCTTCAAACTGAAAACTAAAAGCACCTCGGTGTATTTAAAAAAAAGTTTAATTGTTCTACAGAAGCGAAGTAACACTTTTCTCTTGTTTTACATTTTTTAGAGCTTGTGTAGCTTAGGCAATTTGATATGCACGCTGTTGTTCGATCTCACATGATGTGGGGAAAATAGTGTGGGATGATGAAATGTAGCGTTTTGACGTGAAAACAGTCTACTCTTTGTGTACTCTCGGAAACATTCATCCAAGTGGGCAGAGGAGACCTGCGTCACGGGAATAGAAATGGCAAAATAAAACCTATAGGCCTACTGTCAGTTGTAAAAATAGATGGCAGAACACGACTGCGCTATTTTCAGGCGTATTGATCCACTGCGGTTTTACCATTTCATCTTTGTTTTTTAGTTGTGGTCATTAAAAAAATGAATTGAATTGTAGCAAAATTTATTTAAAAAATTAACCACCGTAGTTATTTTATTGTTGTTGCTGTGTAATATGTTCTTGTTTTGATTGGGGGGGGGGGGGGGTATTCAGCAATTTTCTGTACATCATAGAAACAACAGTGTAATGCAATTAAACGTTGCTCAAGATAATGTATATGTAATGGAGACGATGTTCATAAAGAAATGCATTAAAAATAATATCTTTTGCACTCGTAACTGTCTCCAATGAATAATAGATGTAAGAGAGATGTTACAACAGCTCGTTAGAACAGCCATTATAGCTGCTGGATAAAACACCTATTATATAGTAGCTGGATAATATTAAAATGGCGTTATATTACCTGTACAATGCTTATATCAATCGCATATTTCAGTGCATTTCGCATTCAGGTGGAGGGGGGATACATTTCTTTATACAAGCAGTATATAACACGACGTTCTTTAGTATCATCATGCGTATTGTGTATATTAAATTTACTCTTGCATATAGTAAACCTTGATATGAATCCTATAATTTTAATACATTTTAAACCGTATGTGACTGTAGTTTACACATATTTCAGTACCACGGGGACCTATAACTTAACCCAAGTACAACGTTATATCAGAGGTTTGTGATTGACTTAAAAAAATAAATAATGTAAATTGTCATTTCTGTGTAGGTCTAGACCAGGGGTCGGCAACCTTTTGAAGTGGAAGAGCCAAAAGTTACAATTTTCAAAATTTCCCTGGTTTTAAAGAGCCACTAACATTGTTTTTATCTCAAATATTTTTTTTGTTATTAAGACTATTAGTATTTGTGCAAGGAGCTGGAGAGCCGCATCTTGATATCAAAAGAGCCGCATGCGGCTCGCGAGCCGCAGGTTGCCGACCCCTGGTCTAGACGCCTTATCTAAACATCAAACATCGTATTAAACGTCAGCGAATGAAAGACATTTTTTATAGACATGTAATCATCTTTGCATGGTTCATAGGTCAAAGACCTCCTACTCCATAATTGTATAGATCTTATGTCAACGGTGATTGTACGGCTCTGTGTCCACTGTGTCCACAGATCGCTTCAACGTCTTAACAACACACAAACAAGTGATCATCGAGCCGATACCAGTACCACAAGCTTTTGTTAGGCTTTTAGTGGGCTGCTGTATTTGGTGCTGCCCTCGCCGTCTCCTCTCTTCCTGTTCCCATAGTGAGATATTGATTCCTGCCTTGTAATCCAAACAAGATGGGCCCATTTATTTAGCTACCTGCGCTAAAATATCCCTCTACACACGTCTCAAGTAGTAACTGTGTTTCTATTTATCTTTACTCCCTTGTATTGAGACGCCGTCCTTAATGTTGATTTTAATCCAAATATGAGTACAGTGTGACGTGGGGTATTGCCTAAGCCTTAGGTCCAATTAATTTTGAACTTTATTTTATACTAGTTGTTTTCTCCCGTTAATGCAACGGGAGCTAGGCTGTTAGTGTTTCGTGTTTTCTTTTCCATCCAACTGTTCTAAATAATATATTGGCTACGTTATTAAGGATCGTTTATCGGTAAAACACGTTTAATTATTTAGAACACTTGTAGTTAGTATTAGAGTTCTTCTTCTTCGTTCTTAATTATTAGTGTTGAAAGGGATCGAGATTTATCTGCCAGCGGGTTTGACCTCGAGACTTTGTTCGAATGTATCAACCATTAGCTTTTTGCCGACTCGACCACGCCTCCAACACAATTAAGGATACGTGTCAACTGGTTATGCTCCATTGAGGCCATTGACTCCGATTTTTGGATTTGCTACAAGCTACAAGGCAGCAATAGAGTTGGATGAAAGGAGTTGTCTCTCCTAGAAGAGTGGCTGTCCCCAGCTAACGAGCCTCATCTGCCCGAGGGTTCGAACTCGAGACTTTTCGGTTTAACAACCATGAGCTTTGCCGACTCGACCACGCCGACCCCTAGTAGTAGAGTTATAAAATAGTTTGTTTAAATGTTTTTTAATATCATTTATACGACTGTTGTTAAAAGGTTCCGTAACATTTACGTTTTTAATTTTCCTTTTCAGCAACGTCATACGAGCATTTACTTTAAAGGAAAAAAAATAATTTCAGATGTGCTATTATATACAGGGTATAAATTTGAAATATCCATCCACGACCCGTAGAGACGTTTATCAAACTTAATTATAAATTCAGAATCTAAACGTAGGCTTAAAATACTTTATGTATGTAAACAGGGAAATAAGAATGAAAATACAAGAAAATAAAACTAAGCCGAACACCAATCTATTGTTAAGTTTTCACCTGCTTGTAAACCTATAATCAACTATACAACTAAAATCTAGGCGTCATTCTTAACCATAATCATAACCAAACCTTGAAAATCCCCTGCTCTCAATCTCTACATTTGAAAAAAAAAAACCTTAGTGCAATTCTAAAATGTGAAACTGCAGCCTAACCCTAAAGTAAAACCTAACCTGAAACCGGTGCACTTACCTATCTTGGTCATGCTCATAGTAGAAGTAATCCTTTTAGAGTCAATGAACGGTAGAGGGACAGAGAAATTAAATCGCGAAATTCTTAGATAGATAAAAGACAAATGATCCACTTTGTGATATTTATGTCCACCACATCAATGCACGGCCTGGTCCTGTGCATACCATTAGGAATACTCTCACGGCTCAAACTAAGCAACATATCTAAACTATACTACATCTCGATCCTATATGTTGAATGTTAGATCAAATACCTTCATTTTAGTTAATTCAAACATTTTTACATCCGATTGATTAATGGTTAAACTATTTCTTTTTTTTTTACCATGTATGTTTGATAAGGTTACAATTTGATACATTAGTAAATATTTTGATTTCAAATTAAAATACATTTTCGACACACAAAAAACAAAACAACATACGGCTCTTTCTTAAACGTCGGCATCACATTTTCGAGGATATGTGTATAGTTTATAACAATCAGAAACTTTGGTCTAAACCTTGCCCTGTTCATATTCTTTTTTCTAACCTTGACCTCTAATAATCCATCCGATAAAAAGTTTTCATGGATACCTATTTGTTTTGTTCTTTATAAACACCGCTAAAATTATATTGTAAATATTTGCTTACAACCTCAGCGCCGAGTAGCAATAGATAATATCCACAACAGGATCACTCCTTTTACTTGACATGACTTCTTATGTGGATAAAATGTACTGAATTCACTCCAGGAAAGTCATTGAGCAACACACTACTCATTGAACAAGACATGTATCAAAGTCAAGTACTAGAGGCGTTTAGTCAAGCGCCAAGATAGTAGGTCGACCCATTTAATTGTTTATGCTCTGTGGACCTGGTTTAAGTATAATACTTTAGAAGTGTAATGTTTCGGTCGTATTACTTCGTGTACAAGTTCTGGTCACCAGTAGGTCTCACGCTACTGAACACAGAACTTGAATCCAGTTCATCCACTTCATCATCACTACCCGTCACCCTTGTTGGGGTTTGGGCCGTAAACCACAGATCTCCAAGGTATCTGTCCTGTCCATTTTCTCAACCGGACTACAGGTGTAGTCCTTCTTTGTAGCTTCACCTTCAAAGTCATGTCTTCAGTTTTGACGTTTTCCTTGTGGGTTCCATCTAAATGCCTGCCTGATGATATTGGTTGGCGGTCTGCGCATTGTGTGCCCTATCCAACTCCATCTTATTTTTTTCTTATTTCTTCAGCAGCGGAATTTTTTTCGTTTTCTGTAGGTGTACGTTGCTGATGGTGTCGGTTCAGCGGATCCTGAGTATTTTATGTGAGGCAGCTGTTTATAAACGTCTGGACTTAATCAATGGTGGTCTTTGTCATCCTCCAAGTCTCTGGCCCCTAGTGCAGCACAGATATTACATTTGTGTTAAAAAGGTGCACCTTGATGGTCAAGCAAAGGTCACTGAAAGCCCAGATGTTTCTTGGTTGTGCGAAGGCTGTTCTTGCTTTGATTAGTCGCACGTACGTGAAATCTATATAGGAATCTTGGTAGCAAAATTAGATGAGTGCCTTTGTACACACAAGCTGCATTGTGTTTGTGTGATTGTAGAAACTGATGATAAAGGTTCTTTCTACAGTAGACCAAATAGAAAAAATAGGCTTAATGATCGCATTGAGCCATTGAAGAATGAATAATTTAGAACTCTCAGCATAGATTATCCTGGTTTTAATTTATTTTTTTATTGTTGCAAACGTTAGGCTGAAATAAAAAGGCGTCAAAAGCTTAAATGTTAGTAGGGTTTTATTCCTGCTGTGTCGGCCTTTTTTGATGTTGGATTTAGCCTAGTTTTATTTATCGCAAGAACTGAATACAGTGTAAAGACACCATAGAAAAACTGATGAAGACACGTGCTACTCATATATAAAGCAAAGACCCATCCATCTCCATGCAGGCTGATAGAAGCCGTCAGTTGCATGTCACTTGATGCGATCGTATGTCCGTTTTGTGACCTGCTCACATTCCATTTCTTGCTGCTGTATAGCTGGGTGCTCCCCACCAGATCCCATCATTAAACACTGAGACAATACAAGCAATTATTTTTTTCTTCCACAGCCGACGGGCTTCATGGAGCTGGCCGTGCCCTACTCGAGTATAGAGGACGTCCATATTGTGTCCAGATGGGATGCAGGGCAAAAGTTTTGTCTACGGATCACCATACAGGATGGCTCGGTGCTGTTACAAGTAAGTTCACCACAACTTTCAACAGCGGCTGACGTTTCGCTTGGTATTCATTCTGACCAAGACATCAAATGGAAACTTTGTTCCATTTTATATTTTACTATGATTTTTCATTGATTTTAAATAGAGTTAAAATTCTTTCTTTATCACCTTTTGAACTCCAAAACACACGCATTTCTATTTAAGATAGTATAGTTTAACACTAATATACTTTGAAACAAGTGATATTGTTTTTTAACCCACCCCTCCCATCTCCCACTCCATATAATTTTGATGTGTGTGTTATAAATGCTGGGTAGATAATGGGCGAATAGCTAATGGGCGAATAGCTAATGGGCAAATAGCGAAGTGTTTGACGGGAGGAATCAAAACTTGTTTAGCGGTGTCTGGGGTAAAGTGCAGATTCCGTTCTCCAGTTTCTATGGACCGGTGGGTGGGTGTAATGCATGAGACCGTGGTCAGACCAAAGTTAAACGGTATATCACAGCTCCCAATGTCATGTGTAAGGTTAGAGCGGTGATGTCATGTGTAAGCATAGAGCAGTGATTGATATCATGTGTAAGGTTAGAGCGATTATGTCATGTGTAAGGTTAGAGCAGTGATTGATGTCATGTGTAAGGTTAGAGCAGTGATTGATGTCATGTGTAAGGTTAGAGCAGTGATTGATGTCATGTGTAAGGTTAGAGCAGTGATTGATGTCATGTGTAAGCATAGAGCAGCGATTGATGTCATGTGTAAGGTTAGAGCAGTGATGTCATGTGTAAGGTTAGAGCAGTGATGTAATTTGTGTAAGGTTAGAGCAGTGATGTCATGTGTAAGGTTAGAGCAGTGATTGATGTCATGTGTAAGGTTAGAGCAGCGATGTCATGTGTAAGGTTAGAGCAGCGATGTCATGTGTAAGGTTAGAGCAGTGATTGATGTCATGTGTAAGGTTAGAGCAGCCATTGATGTCATATGTAAGGTTAGAGCAGCGATTGATGTCATGTGTAAGGTTAGAGCAGTGATTGATGTCATGTGTAAGGTTAGAGCAGTGATTGATGTCATGTGTAAGGTTAGAGCAGTGATGTCATGTGTAAGGTTAGAGCAGTGATTGATGTCATGTGTAAGGTTAGAGCAGCGATTGATGTCATATGTAAGGTTAGAGCAGCGATTGATGTCATGTGTAAGGTTAGAGCAGTGATTGATGTCATGTGTAAGGTTAGAGCAGTGATGTCATGTGTAAGGTTAGAGCAGTGATGTCATGTGTAAGCCTAGAGCAGCGATTGATGTCATTTGTAAGGTTAGAGCAGTGATGTCATGTGTAAGGTTAGAGCAGTGATTGATGTCATGTGTAAGGTTAGAGCAGTGATTGATGTCATGTGTAAGCCTAGAGCAGTGATTGATGTCATGTGTAAGGTTAGAGCAGCGATTGATGGCATGTGTAAGGTTAGAGCAGCGATGTCATGTGTAAGCCTAGAGCAGTGATTGATGTCATGTGTAAGCCTAGAGCAGTGATTGATGTCATGTGTAAGCCTAGAGCAGTGATTGATGTCATGTGTAAGGTTAGAGCGGTGATTGATGTCATGTGTAAGGTTAGAGCAGTGATTGATGTCATGTGTAAGGTTAGAGCAGTGATGTCATGTGTAAGTTTAGAGCAGTGATGTCATGTGTAAGGTTAGAGCAGTGATGTCATGTGTAAGGTTAGAGCAGTGATTGATGTCATGTGTAAGGTTAGAGCAGTGATTGATGTCATGTGTAAGGTTAGAGCAGTGATTGATGTCATGTGTAAGGTTAGAGCAGTGATTGATGTCATGTGTAAGGTTAGAGCAGTGATTGATGTCATGTGTAAGGTTAGAGCAGTGATTGATGTCATGTGTAAGGTTAGAGCGGTGATGTCATGTGTAAGCCTAGAGCAGTGATTGATGTCATGTGTAAGGTTAGAGCAGTGATTGATGTCATGTGTAAGGTTAGAGCAGCGATGTCATGTGTAAGGTTAGAGCAGTGATTGATGTCATGTGTAAGCCTAGAGCAGTGATTGATGTCATGTGTAAGCCTAGAGCAGTGATTGATGTCATGTGTAAGGTTAGAGCAGTGATTGATGTCATGTGTAAGGTTAGAGCAGCGATGTCATGTGTAAGGTTAGAGCAGTGATTGATGTCATGTGTAAGGTTAGAGCAGTGATTGATGTTTGACTCCCGAACCTAAGCTGGCCTGTTGCTGTTGTCCAGCCACCTCGGATGGCGGCTCTAAGGTTTCATCCTGTTAACGAAAATCAAGATTAATCTTGTTGGCTAGCTCTGTGTGAAGCTAGCTGTGTGCCTCTAGAAAACAACACAGACGAGTCATTATTCTGTTTGATTTTAAAAAGTAGTTTGCCGGGTTTTAAAACAGGTTTGGTTACTGGAGGGTATCGTATCATTAATTAAATAGAGCTTGTCATTTTAACGTGTCTTAACCCAGTAAAATAGATTTTTAAAAAGTTTTCAAATCCTGAAAATGACGTGGATATAATAAATATTTTGTA